AAGAAACGCTATATGGTGCAGAATAATAATAATAATAATAATAATAACTAACTATTGTATGAAAATGCAAGCCAAAATATTCAGCCAGTTTTTGGCGGTGTAAATAAATAAATAAATGAAAAATTACCGATTTTTCACTTGAAAACTGCCTTCATTTCAAGAAAATTTCAAAACAAACCAAAAATTCGGGATTACGAATGTAATTGTTTTTATTATTATATTATTTTTTATTTAATATATATTCATATTATAATATATTGAAATTTCTTTATTGAAATAACAATGGAAAGATTTAAGCCTAGTTTACAGTTCGCCGTTCGAAAAAAATGTCTATGCAAAAATCTCCGCTCGACAAAATTTTCGAAGTGAATGCGATTTTTTTGTCATGCAAAACAATTGCCGGTCAATTGTTTTGCATGCAAAAATCGTGTGGTGATTACCAAATTATTCTTTAATGCAAATAAAAATTATATTCATCTAAAAAAATTATTTGCATACAAGAAATTCGTAATATTTTTGCATAGGAAAAAAAATAATTTTCATTTTTAGCGCCTCGGTTACTTTGATTGGGGCAAGCTATGTGTTATATACGGTTGGTTATCCCAAGATACAAATAATTGCTCTCGAAACCATTACGATATGACGTATAGATGAGGCAAAAAATAAATTTGAAATTTTCAATTTTATTTCGCATGGCGAGTTCGTCATCTTGATTAACTTTTTGGCTTTATATAGAAATATTAACGCTGTTGATACATTATATCCGACTGTTGTACACCTTGTTGCACTTGCGTCGTCATAACTGTATTTGGATCTTGATTGATGAGCACAGAATGCGGTGCTGTATGCTGGTTATTAAAAGTTGATCCTGGGGGTGCAACCCCATAGTACGATCCCATATGTGAAACATGAACATTGTGAAGCACAGGTTGATGGTATTGTGGTTGAATTTGTTGTAAATGTTGTGTATTATCGTGTTGAACGGCTTGATTTTGTTGATTTTGTATAATATTCGGCAGCGACGGAATCACTTAATCGATTAGATTGAGAAATGAGACTTAGTGTGATTAGATTTTGAAATGAGGCTTATATGTGCTTACCATGCTGCGAGTACGGATTATACATTCCATTATTGCTGAAAATTGGTCCGGATTGTTGCCTGAATGAAGCATATTGCGCTTGCATGTCAGACTCACGCATCAACGTGTGATACATATTAATTGCTAAATATTAATAAATATTAATTGCTATTATTAATTATAATATCATTGATACAGTCATGTAATTTCAAAGTCTATGTATTACAACGAAAATTGGCAAAGATAGCACGTACCTTCCACAAGCTGGGTAGATAGCTTTGTCAATTTCGCATAATTCCGATCAACGCGCTCAAGTTCGTTGTCAATTAATGGTAACATTTGGTTGACATGTGATTCAAGAATGTACATCTCTTGAGAGTCCTAAAAACAATGAAGAGCACAAATTTATTCTATTGTTAATTCGAATTCAAATTACTAAATTCAACTACATAATTGACTTCCAACATATATTGTCAGACGCAACACTGCGGTTTCTTGACAGTTCCCATATAAAATAGCCCCGAAGCGCCAACTGGTGCAAATAAGTAAACTACAAGCATTTTATGTGTGCTTCTTCGCTCTTCTGTTGGCTAATTTGACGTTGATTTTGACAATTTGTTTGTAGTACATTTGCTAACACCAGTTGGCGACAACCGACACTGCGCCTTCTTGACAGTTCTCATATAAATGAGCCCAGAAGCGCCAACTGGTGCAAGAACATGTAATAGAACCGTTGTATACCAATAGTATTAAAAGCTTACACGTTGGGTATACTGTTATTGACTGTTTTGAATAGTAGTTCTTTCACATAAAAACATAAAAATCTGCTTGCATTACACTGATATCTCTCTTATTCCATTGATATTTTTTCCAAATGAGAAAAAAACATATTTCAAGCCTCAATTGCACAGCATATCACTATTAGAATCATTGTGTCGACATGAATCAATCAATAAAGAAACCAAAACAAACACAAACCACACAATGAAATACCACGTTTGTATAAAAATAGCAATCACTTGAAGCGAAAAACTCAAAAAAACATGTTTCAATAAAAAACAATATTCTAATATTTTAGAAAATATAAAATTAAATGAAATTTTTGTGTTTTCACGTGTTTTCATCAACATGAATAACTGCGACAAATGTCACTTCATGTTGTCATTGAAACAATCGGAACGTGGAACGTCAACAAATGAACTGACATTTGTTCGCAATTCTTAAGTTACTCTTGTGTTGACAAAAACACGCAAAAACACGGGAAAAATGTTTGATTTTACGTTTTAAAATAACAAGATGACTTATGGTGTCTTGCATTGAAAAAAAAAAATATTCGCGCTTTTTAATAAAAATAAACTTAAAATATTTCTTGAGAACAGAAAACCGCTCAATAAGCAACTGACACATGTATATATTTGTATACAAGCTTTTGAATTTGACGTACGTTGTGCTTGTAGTACTTGTTCTTGCACCAGTTGGCGTTGACGTAAGAAGGCATAGCGTCGGCGACAACGATGAGAGGGCACTGCATTGGTCAGACGGATATTTACAAGACAGTTTCTTGATATTGGTATAACTAGATATTAGACTGGATTTGATCGGATTGTTTGTTGTGATTGCACAGAAAAATACCGTTCAAAATTGGAGAATTCACTTTATTATGAATGCTATGGGTCAATTCAATCTCAATGCTTATCGCTTCGAGAACACTCATACACTCATTTTATGAGTCTTCGTAGTTTGAAAATTCAAAATAACTCGTCTTGCATGTTCGAGAGTACGATCGTCGTCAATTTTATGCGCGAACTGATTAACTTGCATGAGGTTAGCGTTTCAAGTTTGGAGCCGACCAATTCCGATCAAGTAAGAACAGTTTTTTTGAACTTTCTTGTTTGATTTTCGGCGACCTGAACCTTATTGTACTGTGTATGCTATCTATCTAATCCATCCGCACATTTCATGTAACGGCTCAATTTTAACACTATGACGGTTCTTGGGGAATCCAGGGCCCCCTGCGAACTTTAAAGTTGAATAAAAGTACTAAACAGTGTATAAATCAAACGGAGTCAAGTCTCATTGTATAGATTGAACATTTCTCTACACGAATGAAAAAAAAAACATATGCATATGTGTGAGTATGTGTAAAATACAGCCTGCCGCAAAACATGTTACGCGATTGTTCTTTGGGGACCACAGGGCCACATGGCTATTTTATATTATAACTGGACTATGATCAGAGATATCGACTTGGTGTCTGTGGCAGTGTTGTAGACTAGTTTATGTTCTACAACTTCGCCGTAGACATCAAGTCGTTATCTCTTATCAGTTACGCGAAAAGCCGCGAAAACGTGAAAAACGCGAATTCATAGTTTCTCATTTTTCAAGGAACTGATAGGAGATAACGAGATGGTGTCTATAGCAAAGTTGTAGCTCTGGTCAAGTACTACAACTTTACTACAGACACCAAGTCGTTATCTTTTATCAGTTACGCGAAAAAATGATAAGAAAAAAATCGCGTTTTTCACGGTTTTCTGCGGTTTCTCGCGTATTCCGCAAAACTGATAAGAGATAGCGAAATAGTGTCTATGGCAAAGTTGTAGCTCTGCTCAAGTACTACAACTTCACTACAGACACGAAGTCGTTATCTTTTATCAGTTACTCGAAAAATCGATAAGAAAAAATTCGCGTTTTTCACGGTTTTCGCGGCTTTTCGCGTAACTGATAACGACTTGGTGCGTGTGACGAAGTTGTAGTACTTAAGCTGCTTTACAACTTCGGTATAGACACCATCTCGTTATCTCTTATCAGTTTCGCGGAATACGCGAGAAACCGCAGAAAACCGTGAAAAACGCGAATGTTTTCTTATCATTTTTTCGCGTAACTGATACGAGATAACGACTTGGGGTCTGTGGCAAATCATAGTACTCGACCAGAGCTACAACTTTGCCATAGACATCATCTCGTTATCTCTTATCAGTTCCGTGGAAAATGACAAGGAAAAACGCGTTTTTTTCGCGGATTTCAGCGGTTTCTCGCGTATTCCGCGAAACTGATAAGAGATAACAAGATGGTTTTCAGCAAAGTTGTAGAGCAGCTTGAGTACTACAACTTCGCCATAGACATCAAGTTATCTCTTATCAGTTACGCGGAAACCGCGAAAACCACGAATTTTTTCTTATCATTTTTTCGCGTAACTGATAAGAGATAACGACTTGGTGTCTGTGGCAAAGTTGTAGTATTCGACCTGCGCTACATTTCTGCCGAAGAAGCAAGTCTCTTACTTCTTATCAGCTTCACAAAAAATAAGGTGGGAAAATTTCGCGTTTTTCGCGGTTTTTCGCGTTTTTTTCGCGGAACTGATAAGGGATAAGCAATATTTGTTGCAGCAAAATTATAGCAAACATCGAGTATTACAACTTTGCCTCAGACACTATTTTGTTATCTCTTATCACAGTCCAGATTTCATATGAAGTACATATGGGGCCCTGGGGTCCCCAAAGAACAGGAATATGTGAAATGTCAGAAGAACCGTCATAGTGTTAAGGTAATTGGTAATTATTGGTTTTTTTCTTTCAGATGACTCGAATCTCTCTGGCCCCGCCAAAGAGCATCATTCCTATTGTAGCGAAGACTCGTGCTTTTTGACAGATGTACTAAATTGAATGTTTTCAATGTCGCCATCTGTTGTTGGTGATACAAATATCTTATCACATGGTTCTGATGAAGATTTTATTTATTGTTTATAGTATAAACTTTATACAATTTTATACAAAATCACTTTTTCATTCATAAACTCAATTCAGAAAGGAAATCACAGTTATTTCAACAGTCGAGTTGTTTTGCATGCAAAATGCCTAAAACATAAGAGTGAGAAAATTGTCATCATCAAGTTTACATGGCACGACCAATTTCAAGTAATGCAACTTTGTTTTGAAAACACTAGTAAAAAATAATAAATGGCAAATCATTCTTTTGTCTCTTTGTGGACATTAATTACCACATTTTCGACAGAAAGTGAATTTTTTCACAAAACTCATAATTTCACAATCACGTGTTTAGTACATTTCATTGTTCAATACCGATATTGAACACACCCTAACATCAGCAATGGTATCTGTCAAACTTTACGCTCTGAAAATGACATTCATAGCAAACATTTAAAAACAGTCAATATTTTATTTTTTTAATTTTTATTTGGGAAAACTAACATAACATTCACTTTCGAAATCATACCAAATATTACCCATCATTTTCAAATATTTGAGTTCATTTTTACGGATCTAACGAAATATTTGAAAATTGTCGTGCCGAGGTGGTGTTGAGACTATACAATTCGGTTGTATCGTTTCGGCACGACCATTTTCAAATACTTGAGTTCATTTTTACGGATCTAACGAAATATTTGAAAATTGTCGTGCCGAGGTGGTGTTGAGACTATACAATTCGGTTGTATCGTTTCGGCACGACCATTTTCAAATACTTGAATTCATTTTTACGGATCTAACGAAATATTTGAAAATTGTCGTGCCGAGGTGGTGTTGAGACTATACAATTCGGTTGTATCGTTTCGGCACGACCATTTTCAAATACTTGA